TCCTCAGTCTCTCTCTCTCTCTCGTACGTGCAGTGTGGTGGGAATCTTAGAAAGGCACAGCTGGTTAAGCATGAGGAGCCACTGTACTCATCTAATCACTCCTCCAATAAAACCCTGGTCATGTTCCAGCTCAGTGCCGATAATTCCTTCTCCTCGGGTAGAGGCCTAACGTTGTAGTATCCTAGCTTAGTGGTGATTTTCCCGTTTTGGGTTGAAGTTTGTAACCTGTTTTTTTCCTTCTGTTTTCCCAGTGGTCTTCTCGAACCAGCCTGGTTCTCCCGCCAACCACCAGCGTGGACTAATCCACTTTCATTTTGTTGGATTGTTTTTTAGTTTGCTTACCTTTTTTCTTTATTAAACTTTGTTAAAAGACTGATCCATATACCCTGAAGAAAAGTGCACTTGGAAAAAGATATATCGGTACATATGTGGAAGGAAATTGCAAAGGGCAGCCTCAGATTGGTTTTCTCTGTCAGAGTTTTAACAGAAGCTTAAATTAGTCAAGACGATTCTAGAGTTTGAAGGGAGCTGGTCAATAGAAATATTGGTAGCATGGTGGTGACCTGTGGAAGTCCACCACTTCCAACAGAAAGGTAAAATGCCCCAATGGAAGACCAAGGAATATCTTCACTCTAGAACAATTAACACGTAGGGAAAGGCCTTCGGTCGTCGTGGATTGCTGGCAATTTAAGGAATTAACATAAGAACCTACGCACACACATACAACACACTTGCACGCACAGCCAGCAAATAAATATTGAATGAATGTGGAAAGAAACTAAGGAGCGACTTAGACGGGTCATAGGGAACAACACAACACCCACACAAAGAATTCCACAGAAATATGATTGACACACAGTTAGGGCTCAGGGCTCCTGGTATCTCATTATAATTTATTATAGTGTATAATAAATTTTCAATGTTGGCATTTAATTAATGTCCATCCTCTCTTCTCTTTCTAGGACTGTAGCTAACAAATGGAGGACAGTTTTCCTTCCCTTGACAACTAAGTACTGGTGGATATTTGTAGGGCTCAATTAAGTATAGGTTTTTTGACTTCAATATATATTACGTTTTATTACAGGGGCAAAACAAAGGATATCGGTCTTTTGTACTAGATATGTAATTAACTGGCAGTGGTGGAAACATGTCTTTTAAATAGCAGTAATACATTATTCTAATGGTATAGTATAAATTTCCCACAAAAATAAAATAAACACATTTGTTAAGTCTGAACCAAACTTGGCATTAGTAATAAAAAATATGTAATTACAGACCTGCTTTACTGTTTTTGAAACCTACAGGGTACAAGACAT